GGGTGAAGGGCAATCATTATTGAGGTAGAAGCATTTTTGGGGAAAATACCTGGGTTAAAGGAGCTTTTTGGGCAATTTATTAGGGGTTATGGAATCATAGGTGGTATAGGGCCCATGTTTATTGGGTGTATGGGCAAATTTTATTTGGTTATAGCATTCAATTTTTGGTTGGGCAATATTTTTTGGGTGTATGGCAAATCATTTTTGGGGTGTTAGGCAATTTTTGGGTGTATAGGAATTTAGTGGGTTATGGGCAATCATTTTGGAGCTAGGCAAGTCTTATTGTGGTAGGCATTCATTAATGGGTGTATGGGCAATCATTTTTTGGTGATAAGCCAGGGGTCAATATTGGGGTGAATTTTTGGGCCCAAGTCAATTGTGGGTGATATGGCAAATTTTATTGGGTGTAGGAAGTCTTTGGGGTTGGATAAGGGCAATTTTATGATGGGTTAAAGGAAAGTTCATTTTGGATGTTATAATGCAAGTTTTATGGTGAATGGCAAATATTTTGGTGAAGGGGGCAAGTCATTGGGTGATATAGGCAAGTTATGAGTGGGTGATATAGGCAAGTCATATTTGGGTGATATGGGCAAGTCATTATTGGATGGCTAGGCAAGTCATTATTGGGTGGCATAAGCAAGTCATTATTGGCTGGCAATATTGCTTGCATTGACAAGTCATTGTGCAGCATAGAGAAGTTATGATCAGGTGGCACAGGCGAATCATTATTGGCACTGACCTTTAACATGGTATGGTAATTTATATAAAAGTAGACACAGCTACAACATCTACAGGTTATAATGTTGATATAATGATCCTACAGGTATAGACAGGAAAATTGATATAATAATGATAATCATCAAGGTTAAAAGGTGGAGAATCTACTCCCAGCAAATATAATTACATCTCATAGATATGTGTAATAATATCTTCGAGAATGTAGAAAATATGTCAGCACATTGTGGTAATAACATTATAATGAAAAAACAGGTTGAGAGGAAAAGCATTGCAACTTTGCTTACAATATAGAAAAGGGGAGACAACTGTACTTTTACAAATTCCATAATTTACAACTGTACAGTGGGTTGTAAAAAGTCCATATGTTTTTTCTTCAGAAGTTAAATCACTCATCAAGGTGCTATAGTATATGTACTTGTAACTTATGATGTACAGTAATTCTGGCAGTCAATCAATAAATGAAACAGATTATAAAAAAATCTCAATGCTCTGAGCAAGTAAGAAGTAAGCTGCTGTAGAGAAAAAGTGCAAGAAGATGTTGCATAATTATAAAAAAAAAAGAAGTTAGGAACAGGGTTTAGTTATATAATTATTAGCTTCTATTTTTTTATACAGTCTAAAATTTGAATCAGGCAAAGATTTAGATTATAGAAGCTCTGTAAAAAAAAATGAGGTTAAAAAGGCTAAAATTTGCATAATATTTATCACAGTTTGGGCAAAAAAGCATTGCAACGCCTTAAATTTTATGGTCATTTTGCACAATGTTAATGAAGGTATTTATTCTGGCTGGGAAAATGAAGTTTTAGGGAATGTTTTTAAATTTTGCGCCCACACCTACATCAATGGTACACAACAAAAAAAAATTACCAGTCCCTTCATGTCAGGAAACCTCAGAGTACCAGTCCTGAAAAGTAAGAGTATAATGTGTTAAAAGATAACTTTTTTTACAATTAATTATTCAATATTTATTTGTATATATACCAAACATAATATAATATTATACTTTAAATTTGCCATTTTATCAAAGTTTACAAAAAAAGTCTTTATAACTTAAATAAAGGGAGATTATTCTGTTAAGACTAAACAGATACCCTGATTGTTTTTACAAGAGTTGTGTTTCTTTACACCTCCTGTTTACAGACCAATGTAATGAGATTTGAGACTGAAATAATGTAAAAATAAATAATTCATTTTGGTCAGAACAAATCAAAATAAATCTGTTTAATAAGTCATTGGACATAATGTTCCTTTACTCAGCTACACATCTTTTAAATAGTTTAAACAAATTATATAAAACTATTAATCTTGACACCTGAAATGTTTCTTTTTAGTTTGTTATGTAATTTCCTTTTTATTGAATCATTATTCCAAATAAAAAAATAGATAAACTGTCAGTGGTAGCATTTGTAACAAAGAAAGTTTAATATAACAGAATTAAATTTTTTTAAGAAAACTTTGTTTCTACCAGATTTTTTATATGGGAACTTTAACAATTTGGCAAATCACCTAGTTGGAATTAATAGTACTGGTGGTTTTAAAGAAAATTAAAATAACAAATTTTGCACCATTTTGGAGATAAAAGACTTATATACCACACACATGTACATCATGCACTGGTCCAAGAGAGACGAAGGGAGACAAGACCCCCACCCCAAGGGATTTTGTTATCATGTGGAACCCCAGTTTGTGGAACCCCTCAGAGATTTGGATATCAACTAGTGCAAATCAGATATGTTGAACCATGATCCCTTTTGGAAAACTAGTATAATATCAACCCTGCTTTGGAATATGCATTAATTACCCCTGGTTGAAAAATTAAAACTTTAGTACCCATTGTGGTATAAAATCCAGAATCCACACCAGTACATTACAATATCACCATTTTTCTACTTGCTACATTTATCTGAAAATATAGGATGAATCAATTACTTCCCTTTCATAGAGGATTCTAGGCATTTTTTACAGGGTAATCATTTATTTATCGATAAATAAGAGAACATAATCTGGAATATTACAACTTCAAAAATTTACTGATTAGGTGCATTTATATGGGCATGTATGGTACAAGCATAGGTGCATTTAAATGGGAATGTATGGTAAAAGCATAGGTGCATTTATATGGGAAATATGGAAATGTATGGTAAAAGCATAGGTGCATTTATATGGGAATGTATGGTAAAAGCATATGTGCATTTATATAGGCATGTATGGTAAAAGCGTAGGTGCATTTATATGGGAATGTATGGTAAAAGTATAGATGCATTTATATGAGAATGTATGGTAGAAGTATAGATGCATTTATATGAGAATGTATGGTAGAAGTATAGATGCATTTATATGGGAATGTATGGTTAAAGTATAGATGCATATATATATGGGCATAAATGGTAAAAGCATAGGTGCATTTATATGGGAATTTATATGGTAAAAGCATAGGTGCATTTATACAGGAATGTATGGTTAAAGCATAGGTGCATTTATACGAGAATGTATGGTAAAAGCATAGAGGCATTTATAAGGGAATGTATGGTAAAAGCATAGGTGCATTTATACCAGAATGTATGGTAAAAGCATGGGTGCATTTATACCAGAATGTATGGTAAAAGCATTTTTGTTACTTATAAATTGTGGCAAGTGCACTTATATGCAAGTTTATGGCATGTAACAAACAGTGTCCAAATTTTTTCTTACTCATTCTGGTACTGATTCCAAAGTTACTAAGACCGATGTTATGATGATGTGCCAGCAACAGTGTACATGTATTGTTTGTAGATATGTTTACTAACTGGTCACATACAGCAGCAATTAGTGATCGTTATATAGGTAACATGGGTATGACTGAAAGGCTATGATGTATATGATTGTATGCTGTGAAAAATGTTCTATAACTATAATAACCTGGACAGCTTTTCCGTCAGATTATCGAGTATATTAAGAAAACTTATAAAGTGTTTAGGGCCCATTATGTCCCTGAAATAGTTTTTTTGTTTTATGTTTTGTGTCCTGATAAAATTTCCGAAAAGTCATTGATCTATTACCAGAATTTTTTTTTTTTTGGCAATTAGTATGATTAGAGTGATTTAGTATTTTGAAAGTCAAAATACTACTTTGTTCACATTTTGCTTCTTTTATGACAAAAATATTTCACATTCAGGGCTACATTCTTAGGTGATTAGCCTTTTACATTCTCTAAAAACAATTCTTTAAACATAATATAAAACTCATGTTTGCCCTTTCTACAGAATGATTTTTTTTCATTTCTCAAACATAATGTGCATCATCTACATGTATATTTAAACATAATTATATGGGAAACAATTCGAGCTCATTTGGCACTTTAATTTTTTATTAAATTAGAATGATCATAATTTTCATAATCTTTTAACTGTGTGACATCTTAAAGCAATAAGGAGTTCAATTTGTGGCCACCATGACTTTATTATTCGTAAACACTTGAACTCCACAAGGTACGAGGACATTATTTCACTATATTACCTTCTTACACTTCTTTGAATTGTGAATTATAATTTATAATTGAATTTATGATATTAAACCATTATGTTTAAAAAGTAACTACAAAATATGTTGAGAAATTATATATGGAGGAGAAGTTGGCATTGACTTGTGGAGAATTTAGAAACACCAGTTAGGTTTGTGGAAAATTTAGAAATACTGACTGATTTACTGGTCCTTAGATAATGTTGTAAAAATGACCATAAAAAATAAGTGCCTCCATAATTTCACAGCATACTGATATAACAAGGATATTTTTTTCTTTGTTCTATAGGCACCTGTTACATAATAACACCAGGAACTTAACTGATTAATTTTTAAAATTCACAAAAAGAAACAAAATAAATACAATTTATAGATCTCAATTGTTATATTTCTTCAAGGACTTCATTACTAAAATTATTCAATACATTTAAATGATTATCAAATAATTTTGCTTCAATTATATACATGTATAACCAAGTAAAACATAAGGAGAAAGTAAATATTATGAGATGTTTGACAGCTTATAATTGTAAACCAGTTTACCCCCTCCCCACCTCCTAGCATCTGTCACCCCCTGGTGACCTTGGGAATCAAGGCCACATTTATCATCAAAGATCTTTCTCATTTTCTACATAGTAATACATGCTAATAAAAAATATGTTACAAGAAGCGATGATTGTCCAGAGATACTGTTTTCCCCCCACTGCATGCCTTATATTATCACACACTGATAAGCAAAGCCAACTAGGCTTATCAGCATTGTCATATAGAGGTATCCCAGGAGGCACCTCTCTCTCTCTGCTTGAGAAATTGTGACTGATGGCTGATTAGGATCAGTGCATAGTGTGGGTAGATGCATTGACTTAGTTTTTTTTCATCTTCCACATTTCTGTCCAGCTTCTCTTGTGATTTTTGCTGAATCAGCAAATTTTTGGAGTTAATTTATTTCAGGAAAGGAAAAGTGCATTTCAACACATTAATATCTTTTAAAGTACTTTTATTTCTTTTCTGGATATAATTACATTGGTTGTATACTTATTCGCTGGAAGGGATTTTGTGCTTGTTAGTATAAGCACCAAAGGTATGTTTTTATTACAGCAACATATTTTGTAGCAGAAACTGCTTGGGTTAATGCATTTGCATGAGAAAAGTGATGTGCATGCATTTTGTTTAACAGATTCATATATTTTATCTTAGTTTTGACACTTGTTTTGGCAGTTTTTGAATTTATATGTTGTCAACAATGGTTAAAGGCTTGATTTATTTAGATGGTTTAAACTTAAAAGTCTCAATTTATGAACATTATATTTAAACTAAAACCTGTGAAATGCGTGTCTTAAAAACATGTATAACCTTACCAACAAAGGTCATGCAACCTTTCTGACTTTTAATAACTTAAAACATAATACAGTCAAATCTGTATAAAAGACCACTCTTTGACAGTCCTTAGTAGATTAAATTTAGCATAGTAACTCCTAATAAAGACCACTTGTTGATAAAGACCATCACTCATTTGGATTACTACAAATAATGACCACATGTACATAAAGGCCGTCACTCTTTTGGATGACCATTGTTTACAGGTTTGACTATATACTATTCCTTTGGCACATGCTATGTTGGCATTATGTAACTATGATGTCACAACAATTCCCTGCAAACTGACAGTTCAAAATTTAGTTCAAAGATTAAAGGCCCTTTTTAAAATTGAAGAACCCTAGGTATTTGTGTATGGATTCGTAATCCAGGGGTTGTTCTGGTTTGATCTTGAGGCAAAGTGAAAGTTCTCTGAGGTGGAAGTTATTCGTGACAATTTTTCTTGTCTGATGTTCATTTTAATGGTCATTTGTCTCTCACAGCTGATTCGGAAATCTTGAGGAATTTGTAGTCAGTCACTTGCTGAAAAATTGGTAAATATTACTTGTCAGTTATCCAGGAAAACTGGTTAAGTAGACCAAAGGTTAAGATATGACCGAACATTGGTTAAAACCGGGTTTAAAACCAATTATCAGGCAATACATAATGATACGTACAATATCATGTACATAATTAAATTCAGGACAATTGTAAGTCTTTTCACAAAAATAATTTAATTATCCAGTGAGGTACATGTACATTGTAGTTGCCAATAACAAAAATAATCAGCACATTAACATAATTTCTTTGATTAGCTTAATATATGATTAAGTTTTTACCTTTCCTCAGTTTAAGCTGACAAGCTGTCCAGTTAGCTCAAGTTAGACTTGACTTGAACTGTGATCAGGCGACCCGGGTTCGATTCCCCTGAGGTACAGGTCACTTTCATTTTGATTGATCATGAAGTCCTGTCTATGTTCATTTGCATTGTACCTCTGCTCTGGCATGCAATGAAGTTATCAGTTCCTTGAGAAAATGAATCAGGGAAACTGTTTGACAGCCTGTCTCCAGGAACGATGTGATGGCTGTTACTATGCTCTAGTAAATTCAATGTGGTTTACTCAGACATGGTGCTGAGTAAAAACTATCAACATGACCACTACAACTCATTTTTAGCTCAAACTTTGAAAAAAAAATTATAATCAGACTGGCCTAGCACATTATATTAGTGACATTATAGGGCTTATCAGTTTTATGCTGGGTTTATTTGATGGATTAAGACACAAAGTTGATTTGCCTCAGAGAATGTGCATGCTGGTACAACAATGTATAACTATGTAGATTGTTATGATTACTTATGATAATGTAATCATTATGTTCATCTTCTATAAGCCTTATCTTTCCAACAAGTTACTTCACACCATATGTGAGGGCTGTATAGACAGTCTCCAAACCTACTTTTTGCATACTGGAAAAAAATAAAACAACAGTGTTGAAATAATGCACCAGTCTGTGTAAATACATCCCCTTTTCCATTTGGCATAGAGGATACTTTGATTCCTTTTGATAATCAAACTCAAAATAAAGACCCTCTCCATTCAGGGAATCAGGGGCTGGTTCAAAATGTGAAATCCTAGCTCTGCAAGTTGAATACAGTTGAACCTGTACTTATTGAATGATCACCTCTTTTCGGCCGTAACCTGACCTTAAAGGCCATTTTGTGGTGCCCCGAACAAAAATCACTCTTTTTTCATACATCTGTACTCTTTTTTTTTATACATCTATTCAGCTATCACACTATCTTGACAGTAAAAATGACTTATGTCTAATGGATGGTAAAATCTTATTATGCATTTTTAAGTGCCAGTCTTTCCAACCATCACAACAGCTTTTTTGTGCTTTTGTTATGTTATGAAAACATGTCAGCTTCATTATTAGCTCACCAGAACCAAAGGTTCAGGGTGAGCTATTTAAGTATCAAAGGGGGATCAGCTCCGGCGGCTGTTGTCCGTCGTCATGCGTCAACAATAGTCTTATTCTGTAAAACTGCTGGGCAGATTTACTTTAAATTTGGTCTGTAGTATCCTTGTGACAGTCACACTTGAATTTGCTCATGTCATTTCAATTGGCCCCTTAAGGGGTCAACAGAGCTAAAAAAAGAAAAACCTTTAAACATCTTCTACTACAGAAAAAATTGATGGATAATCACCAAAAAATTTTGTGTAGCATTCTTTAAGGTAGTCTTTTATCAAGTTTGCTCAGATTAATTTGATTGGCCCCTTTTAGGGGTCTCTAGGGCTAAAAATAGAAAAAACTTTTATCATCTTCTTCTACAGAACTAATTGATGGATGATCACCAAACTTTGTCTGTAGCATTCTTGGGTAGTCTTTTATCAAGCTTGCTCATATTAATTTGATTGGCCCCTTTTAGGGGCTGCTAAAACTAAAAATAGAAAAACCTTTGAACATCATTTCCTACTGAAATAACTGAAAGATGATCACCAAATTTTGAAGCATTCTTAGATAGTCTTTTATCAAGTGTGCTCCTTTTAATTTGATTGGCCCCATTTAAGCTAAAGCTTAAATGCCCCAGGTCATGGCATTTCTTCAATTTATTGTTTAAACATATTCAATGCTCAAATTTAATAATAGAAAATATTGACAATGGATAATTTCCAACACTGAAAAGCAGTTGTTTCTGGTGAGCCACTCAGGGCCATCATGGCCCTCTTCTTTCTATTTTGTGGATTCAATGGAAAAAGAATTTCCCTCCATCCTTTAAAGTTGATAATTTCGTAAATGTTATTTCAACAAAATTTCAGTTTTCATTATATCATCTTATATGAATAATTATATACAAAAATATGTAAAGTTTATGTTAGTACATATATTAGTACATGTATGTATTATACAGTGCAACATCTGCAAAGTGACCCTCTGTAGAGCAATACACCAATTGACAGTTTCCGAACTAGCAGACAACAAGCTATTCTTATCAGTAAAATTATTGCGAGTAAAAGATAAACAGTTGCGTATCTCACTGTATAAAACATATGCAAAATGGTCTGACGTGTGGTAGGTTTAACCGTAAATTTAAATACCTTTAGTCTCGGTTATTTACTTAGTTCATATAGAGACTGTCAATGGGTGTATTACCTGTGTACAACAAAAGTTTAAATTTTTTCCGTAAGTAAAACTTAACAATAAGTTTAACCTGTCAAGAACAACCCCTCACAGCAACAACCAGTATCTTTACTTCTCAAAGGTTGTAGCTCTGCAGAGGTTTTGCTGAAGTCATTTTTATTTGTTTGAGTCGTCAGACCAAACAAATAATGGTAGCGAAATTTCAGACTCTAATGCTGTTAATTGCAAGTGCCGAAAGTAGTCCGCTTTTTTGAAGCGGTTACTTCCCTTTATATGTAACACATAGGCCGAAAAATTTAGGGGAGATCACTGCGTAAATATGGTCACATGACAGGCGGATTAATTTTCAAGCAAAATAATTCCCGAATAGTCGAAGATTTTCTAATATTGTTTTATTCTTTATAGATATACATGCTTATAGTAAGCGCCATGATTATTTACACAAGTGTTAAACAACAGTTAGCGTCGTTACAAACCCTAACTAGAATTATATGGTTTTCTTTAGGCAATTAATATGTAAATTCACCGTGGCCGAGGGTTATGCTCGCTCGCTTAGGAAGCGAGAGGTCTCGAGTTCAAATCCCAGTTAAGGCAACTCATTTTTTTTTCAAATTGTTTAAGTGAAATAAACATTGGATCGAATATCAGTGTTGCAATTAGTCTTATAGCCAATCTACTACAATTTAAACGCTGGAAAGCATTGGTGGCACTATACAAAAACAAATTGTTTTATAATCTCACAACCTTCACCTTTCTGACATTCTGAGACCCAAACAAATTCAGCGCCTTCTGTGCTTTGATTTCACATTTTATCATTTTCATGAAAGTTAATTACATGCATTTCCTATCTAACCCTCCAAATTTTGCTCACACGGATATGGGCATTATTAAGTCAAGGCTTCCGCTAAGTTCCAAAATCTGGAAGTCAGAGACTGCAAAATGTCTGACACCAGGAAGTCACATTTATAATATAGGTAAAGAAGAAAAAAGTATAATATTCTGGATGTGTCAGATCAAAAATCATGAGTAATTGACTCCCAAACTTCCACTAATGGAAACCCTGTTGAAGTATAAGATCCAAACTTTAAGATTCATCAGTTAATACATGATTGTATTCATGTTTTCTTAGGGAGCATTAGAATTTGTTAAAAATATATTTTATTTGATTTTATATTGTTATTGTTAAGAATAGGAATAGCACTCTTACTGTGCTTGTTTAGTTATGGAGCTTTCCTGCTGAATTATGGACTAATTTATGCTGGATTATTAGCAATGTCATGCTGAATCATGGATTTAATTATTATTGATTTATTATCATGGATAGTTATGGACTTATTATACTGAATTATGGAGTTACCAAACTGAATTATACAGAGGGCAACTCCCTCAGCCATGTAAAGTTAAAGTTGTTTACTTTGAATCCCTGACCCTTACCACTGTGGGCTTGAATCTTAACACATGACGTCTTTCATGTGAGGAAGGTTTCCAGCTAGCTTAGCTCAGTGGTGCTTGTGCCTGAAATGCTCTATGAAGCCTAAGCACCTGAGGTCTTCCTACTGGAAAGTTGCCTATGACCACTGT